TGCTGGAAAGTTCGGCGCTTGTTGATTTATATTAGTCTCATTTATACAATTTTTTTTCAACTGTCAGTGGAAGTGCAATAGTTTTTCAGCGCTGAAAGATTACAAGATTTTATTGAAGCTATTTACAGATTTTATAAGAGCGATTTGATCCATTAAATGTTGATTTCAAAGGTATATATTTTAAGAGCCATAGACCCACTAAATTTAAATTATTTGAAGCTATTTTTCAATTTATTTGAAGGTAGTTTTATAAATGTTTTTTTTTTTACATATTCTTAAAAGTCCATTTTTCTAACAATATATGCTCTGTTCCAGAACTACAAGAATGTGAAAAGTTTCACTACTAAAATTGCAAAACTTGTACATTTTTGCAGGTTCTGGAACAGAGAAATAATAAACGTATTCTATGGAAAGGGTGTTGAATAAATGAAAATTCCTCAACAAAGCATTAGGAAAAACATGGCATTATATTTCCGTTAAAAGTAAAACTATACGAAAACATTCGAATCAATTTTGAAGTACCCAAAGAGAAAAAAATTGCAGGTGCCAAAAAATGTTCATATCAAGGAGAGGGATAGACGGGGCCTCCGACCCCCTCCCCTACTTCTTTGTAAATACTGTAACCATTTTGAAATTGTATATATGGTGAGGCTAAAAGAAACATATTCTGAAAAATTAAAATCAAAAAGCATCGTTAAGAAGAGTATATTTCAAAAAGCAGACCTAGGTTGTACTGATTTTAATAAAGAGGGTCTATATGATCAGAACCAAGGATATGATATTTTTACCGGAGTCTGACTAAATTGCACTCTACTCCCAAGTTAAACAATTTTTTGCCTCGTAGACATTTTTATACCCCCCGCCATGCTATGGAGGTTATATTAGGTTTGTCATTCAGTTTATAACTCCTCGAAATTAGCACATTATACTGCAAAAAGTATATGATGAAGAATCCATCTATTCTATGTGGATTTTGCTATGCCCATCCTAGTTTTCGAACGAAGTGAAGTAGGTGGTTGTTGGGATTTTGGCAATAGTTATACACTGAATTGACTGTAAATCAGCGGTTGGATTTCCAGCGGAGAACTGTCCATATACGTCCAATTTGTAGTAGGTATTTGGATCGTTTAAAATACATTATTTTAGGGAATTTTCCCAAATTTAATATTTGGAATTCGTAATAGTTTCCGCTATCTGCGGTAGAATATTTGTCTATCCATTTTTCAATAGAATGGTTTCAAGATTGGTCTTTGGAGTTCCCAATAGGTACAACCTTCTAAGGCAGATAATTGCCTATACAGGATCTAGTCTTTTTGTAGCTCCCATATAACAGATCATCCTGAATCTTAGTATTTTCAGAATTTGAAGAAGGTGAAGGTCGCATTTATTATCTCATTGTGATTAAATTTTCCACAAATCAGTTGTTTGGCCCAAGGACGAACCCTCTTGTGAGAATCGATCCAAATTTAGATTTAGCTCCCATTTATATCTACGTCCGATTTAAATTTTATTGTGCAACATATGTTTAATATTCGTCCAGGATGTATTTTAACACATACCACCGACTTCAATGTAGGAGCAATTACCTTGAATTTGGTATGTTTCATCTATTTTGGTATATAAGTCTCTTTCACACATCACACGCTGCCCGAAAGTTGCTCTGTCGTATTTTGGCCCATTCCCGGCGAAACGCTTGCTTGAGGTGATCGACACTTCGGTATTTTTTAGTGCCAACCTTGCTTTCCAAAACACTCCAGACACAATAGTCCAACAGATTGGTATCAGGCGATTTTGGTGGCCATTGTGCGCTGGAAATGAAGGTGGAACCTCATTTTGCAACCATTCTTGGATAGCGCGTGCTGAGTGCGATGGTACTGGCCAAGGTCTGTGGCCAAAATGTTTGCGTGACAAGACTTTAATACACTCTCCAGAATATTTTTGGATAATATTCGGCATTTATTCTGATGCTACGGTCGATTATACGAGCGGAGAGCGATCATTGGCTGTTATGGCGGCCCACACCATCAACATGGCCGGCCCTTCAGTTCTGGTGGCTGACAGAAGGTGCACATTTTCAGTTGACCTCTTTGGTAAGTTTGTTTGTTTACAAACTGCTGGACAACGAATGTTTTCTCATCGGAGAAACCCAAAACACTTCACCACTTTCGTCCAAGCGAAACAACTCTTTAGCTCTTCTGAGTCTATTTTCTTTCCTTTGCGGTGTAAGTTCTTGCACTTTTCAGAATTTCAACGCATTTTTAATGTAATTCGCCTCGAAGCCATATCAAGCACTCTATAACAAGCTTACAAATTCTATAACAATGTTACAAAAACATCTGTCAAATTTGGTGCAAATCGATTGGGGGTTATAGAAGTACCTCTCGTATATTATTGATCTAAAGCTATGATACGCTTTCCAAAAAGGCTCACATTTGGTATTATATACTTCATATAAATTCTCAATATATCGGTTTATTTGTTATGTAGGATATCATATAGTCGACGTTGACCTACTTTTGATCGTTCCAGACTTTTTTTTAACTTAGTATACCATTGAAATAATGGCCGTGTAGCTTTCCAAATGGTGGAGGGTAAAAAATAACTGATGAAATGGTATGTACTCTTTTCTCCTGAAGATATTCCCCTATGTACAAAAATGAACTCAGTCTTTAAAACCAATGTCATTTGAAGCAAAATTTCTAATGAATTTTGAAAAATCGGCTTACTGAAATTGTCCTCGCCGTTATACACGGCACTTTAATATCACTTCAATAGTGACAAAAACACAAATATCTGATATGGTAAGGGCAGTACGAAGAGCAACCCCCAATGAAAATTTCCACATTTTTTTTTTTTGTCAAGTTGTTATGCGTTTTTGTTACACTCCTGCCATTAGAAATTCACTGAAACAGAAAAAACAAAAATGTCTGACATTGACAAATGCCATCCGTCATTGTGAACATAAGATTGATATAGATTGGAATGTGACATACACACAGAGAGACATCTATCCATCCAGTCATCTATTTAGACACCATAGGAATAAGTAAAGCAACCACCACACCAATACCAAGAGCCTTTATAGACAATACCACTGCCACCACCACCGCCAATCTCATCCTTGTAGTTGTGATCATCATCAGGCCATAATCATTGGGAGTCATACAGCACACTCACTCACACACGCACAGCCCATAATCTGTGTGTTTCGAACAATGGAGTATAACAATGAATACAAAATACGCATAATGGTGCGTACTGCGTGGCGTACACACTGACACAGACACAAGTTGACGAGCGACGACGTCTGTCCATCACATCAGTCACCCTTGTCCTGGTCGTTCCATTGCTGTCGTATGTTTTTTTTTTTTCTTTTTCAAACATTTCACGTTCCGTCATATGGCTGAGAACGTTCGAAGGACAGCATGTTTCAATGAAATCCTGCATAAACAATAGAAAGAAGATTAGTTCCCCCCCTCGCCCATAGAAATGTGTGCTAATCCACGATAAAATTATGTAGATTTTTATGTATTTATTAAATTGACCCTCCACAGATTTCTGGCCAATTTAGCCAATAATGCAATATCCAAGATATAGTAATAGAAATCTACGGCCAACCTCAAGGGTGTAACCAAACATTCTTTTTACAATGGGTAAGAGACTATAAATTACAAGAAGTCAGTAAATGTTGATTTAATTTTTTTAATTACTTTAAAAATAATTCGGTCCTGCCGAAGTATGTATGCCCACATCCATGTAAAAACTTAAATTGAATTGGAGGATAGTTTTACATTGTCGATATACGAATATCAGTAAAAACTAAATATTCCTGCTAGATACTTACCAAATTGTAGCTACGACCTTCAAAATGTCATTAACATGAGGATACCGTTATATGAGGATCATTGTTTTACATGAATCAAAATTGAACAGTTTTTAAAACTAAACAAAAAAACTTGTTATACCCTACAACAATATGTGCTGAGTGTATTATATAAGTTTAATTGGGGCAAAGTTTGTAACACCTCGACATATTGGTGCTGGACGCACGAAGTTATGTATCGATCTTTCTATCTCACCGAGCTGCGTGAATCTAGGCGTGGTAAAATAATTACATGGTTGGGCAGAATGATTAAATTTGAGAAACACAACCCTCTACCTAGAGACTTGTAACTTCTAATTTACCAATGACATATGCAACATTTTTGTTATCTTAAACTTTTTTCCCAATATAGAAAAGTATATATATTCATAATGACTATAAAATTCTAAGTCGGATTATTCTACACGGAGTAGTCTAAAAATTGGTATTTATTTGCCATAATGGATTCTAGCTCCGGCGGCGAAACATTACATACACGCAAGTCCAGGTTTTGGCACAGCCCCCATATAACGGTACCTCCCAATATTCGGTACTTTGATGGTTTTTGTCACATTTTTTCAGGGATTTGTCTGAAAATTGGTATTTTTAGGTCATAATGGGCCCTAGTTGCAGTGGCGAAACATTGTATGTATAGGTCCACGCTTTGGTGTAGCCCCATATAATGGTACCTCCCGATAATCGGTATTTTGATAATTTTTGCCGCATTTTCCCACGGATTTATCTAAAAATTGGTATTTGTTGGTCATAATTAGTTCTAGATCATTGCATGTATAGGTCCACGCTTTGGTATAGCCCCATACAATGGTACCTCCCGATATTCGGTATTTCTATGATTTTTGCCATATGTTCCCACGAATATGTCTAAAAATTGTTATTTGTGGGTCATAAGGGGTTCTTATATTTCCTTTATCCAAAGGTGGAGGGTATTAAAAGTTCGGCCCGGTCCAACTTAATGTTTTTTAATTGTTCATTCTAAAACGGAAACATTTTTTTTAATTATTCAAAAATGTGAATATAAAATCCTCCTTATATTCATATTTGTTTTTAAATTGGAAATTAATACACTTTTTGAAAATTAGAGAATGAACCTCGGAATATTCTAATTATGTATCCCAATAGCTTGAGGGAATCGTTTATTCTACAGCAAAAGTAGTGTTTTAAGGTATCAATTTGTAGGTCCCGCCCGACTGAAGCGTTTTCTTATTTGCTGTACTAGTATTTTTAGTAATTCTGAGAGTACAATCCATGCAGTTAGACTCTTTTCTCACAACTTTCTCAAACTTGTCTTACCTTACATTTATTATACCATCGGTATAAGTTCGTTTTTAATTGGTTAAAAAGATGACTTCCAGAATTTGCGCAATAAGTGGAAGGAAACTTCCCAAGACGAGGTTAAAGAGATATTTGACAGGTCAACAGAAGCAGCTATAGCTCTCATGATTTTAATTCCTACATATTGTCCTGAAATGGCAGCCTACTTAATGATAAATTTTGAGAGGGTATTTTTCTGTTCAAAAGTTATGCACTTTTTACCTAAAAAAAACTATTCCGAATGTTTCTGCGTCATAACAAATTAGGGTCACAATCTCCATGCTATTGTTGCCCATTCATATGAAAACGGCCGGATTCGATGAATTTCAGATTCCAAATTTTTCCATTAAACGGTTCCTCCAATGCCGATTACTATTTTAAGCCGATGTGATAAAGATCAGCTTCAAACATCTCCCATTACTCGGTTCCAACAATTCTGAATACTATTTTCATTTGCGGATTTGCGCGAAATATTGTGGTTTGGATTGATAATAGACAGCCTTTGGAATTACTCCAATTCCTATACTCATAAAATCAGTTCTAAGAGCTACCCTCGTATTTATGATTAAACTTTACGCCAAACTCAATTTGAGTATCTCCTTCTTCTATGCTTAAAAGTTCCCTTACATACATTCTTTATTAATGTGTCTTTCAGAAACCTTGCGCCAAATTATTTTAATCATGTAAGTCGTTAGTCATTCTATAAAAGTGTTGAAAATTCCCTGAATAATAATCAAGTGTTAATTATTTTATGGTTTTCAAAACTTAAACTTTTCACATTTGTTGTACGTTTGTCGTCTCGCCAAAGCCGCCCTCCAAGAACACATACCGCAAATTATCATTCAAGATAACCATCGATATCACCAAAGAGCTTTTCATCTAAAAATAAACGAGAAGCCGAAAAGCGTTTACACAGGAATACACAAAACGACGAACATTAGCTACTTACATTTCCTTTCCGGTATAATAATGAAATTTCCGGCTTCTGGGAGGACACACACATCCAATAAGTTTATATCAGTGCTGTCTTTGTTTCGGCGTTTGTATAATGGCGAGTGCCATCATCTTCATTCTCATTATTTTTTGGCTGGCAAGTATAACACCCACCTCTTTGATGTTACAACTTTTCTTCTTTGTATTTTGAATTCGAGGCGGTCTTCCAAAGTAGTGTTCTTCACTTTTAGTTGTAATGGCTGGTGCAAAAATAATGTGATGCCATCAGTTGACGATGGCATTCAGATTAAGCTTCTGGCAATGACTGAATGAACTCTAAGCGGTGATAAAAACATTAATCATCGAAGACAGTAAAAAATAGAAACACCAGCAGCAACAATGACGATAACTATTAGAGAATTTCGTGGTAGCAGCACTGAAGTTTATAGTGTGAACATTCCAAACAAAGGTTGAAGGTGTGTTCTCTCCCGGGTTGGTGAGTTGACCGATTCGTTTCAGAATATATCAAGCTGACAGTAGTCTAAAATGTAGATGGTTTATCTGGAAATTAATTAAAATTAAATTGTTAATTGCTAAAGCGGAGGAAAAGTTATTATATTAAATTTGAGATTAGTTTAAGTCAATATAATGTGTCCTTTAAAATAAATTTTGCCTGAAAATAAAAGTTTCTATGTCCGATTAAAAAATCAGAACTACTTTCTTATAGAAGTTATTAATTAAAAAGTAAGCAAAGGCTATAGTCGTGCGGAGCCGACCATGTGATACCCTACAACACTACAATGTGTTAGAAGGCCCTTTATATCCAAATATATTTTGAAAATTTTCGCTTTTGAAATTATGTCACGGAGTCCTGCCCAGATATTACCCTTAGCATTTTGACCAGGGATATTTGCCCAATATTTAGGCAGTCCATCGCGCTGTTAGTTGTTATAGCTAAATATGGTCATCCAAAACGCTAGACTTCTTTCCTGTCCTTAACTCTTTTCTCATGCAAAATTCTGTGTCGATTTGTTTCAATTGTGTGATCAGGAAAATTTTTCTGTTTTCGGTTCATTTGATCCCCGAAATATTTTGCGATCATCTCCAAATTCAAGAGACCCCTCTGTATCTCAAAATTTGGACTCATCTATATGATTTGCTCGTCTACAATATTTCGTCAACGAAATCAGCATAAAAAAGCCTTTTGTGTATTTCGGATATCACCTGTAAGTAATGTTGGTATTTTTTCACACAAAAGTAGTGAGCAATTCCATCCGCTGTCCTAACTCTAACTTCAAGCGAGATTCCGTGTCTTTTGGTTTATATTTGTGACTTTTATAACGGCTGCAAAATCGGGAATATTTTTAGGTGTTGGTCCATTTCAACCTCTTAATATATTGCGAACATCTTTGAAAACGATAGACCTTGCCATTCTGAACCTAACCCTACCTTTGTGAAAAATTTCGTGAGGATCGGACGATAACTGCAATCTGTATATAAAAACCCCAACCTGTGTTGTAAAGTGAACAAATATTACAAAATGTTTACTTTAATATTTCAAGTCAAATTGAAAAAATCGCATGCGATAAAAAATATGAAAAATAAAAAAATGTCACAAAATACAACAAAATCTATATTAACATCATTATTGGCATCTTTTTATGCGATTTTTTTGGATTTTAATCTTTATGCCAAGAGGGCATTCTGAATTGACAAAACATGTCAAAATCGGTGCAGCCATTCTTGAGATATAAGCATTCTAGTTAACACCCCATTCTTTTGTATATAAACATTATACATATTTCGCTATATATATCCGATATATTTACTGTCTATCAGAATTGACCTATTCGTCTATTTGTGATTTCGTCGGGATTAAAAATATTCGCGATTTAATGGAAAATGTTATTTTTATTTTACCCAAATGTTATGGTCTATTTCACCCACTAAATATTACCCGATGACCATCAAAATTGGAAGGCTTCTGCCCAGCTCTAAGATCTAGCCCCATGCTAACTTCCGCTTTGATTGGTCTATAATTGCGACCTGTAGAACAACTGCAAAATCAGGAATTTTTTCAGTTTTGTCCATTTCAACCCCTAAATATTATGCGATCAAGAAATAGGGTTCTATTCTGACTCTAGCCCTACCTCCATTCTAAATTTCGTGAAGATCGGACCATAATTGAGACCTGTAGAGTGATTACAAATTAACATGGACAGACGGACATACTGACGGACGGACATACATAGCTAGATCGACTCAGCTCGGCGAGATAGGAAGATCCATATATACTTTCCTATGTGGGAAACCAATATTTCGTGGTGTTACATAATTTTTGGTCCAATCAAATTTATAATACCCCCAACACATAGTGTTTTAGGGTATAAAAAGCCTGTAGATATTTTTTTTAATCACCAAGGTATTATTAGGTATATTAGATTTAGTTAATAAAGCCACAAGAGACGAATTGGAGTATTCGTTTTTTTTTTGCCTTCAGCAACCTTTGAGTGTAAAACATAACTAAAATCGCCTTCTTTTCGCCGCAAATATAAAATTGGCTCAAACATTGAACCAAATTGGATACCAGTTCAGATGGTTTTAAATCCATGACATTTCAATATTTTTGACAATTGACTTAATTTTCTTTTGTATAATATGGTATTAACGTAATTTCAAAATTATTGCCTTCAGTAAGAGTAGAACCAAAGCGACGAATGTCATAATTGGACTCCTTTGCACCTTTAGTGTGATGCTTATTAAAAATTTCGAATCCTTGTATATGAGTGATAAAAAGAATGGGGTTAAAATTTTAGATTTTCGCAACTGATATAATCTCAAAACATTCTACCCTCTTTCTATAACATACAGGGTGAGATAAAAAAACTGCAAGAAAGTCAAACGCCATAATTTTTACATTTTTTTAATAAAAAAATAGCATCACATTTTAGAACAATTATAAATTTGTTCGAATTGGTCACATTTGGCACGAATTATTGCATTCAAATGGCCAACCAGCCTTGCTTTCCAAAATAATGCAGACACAATAGTCCAACGGATGGATACCAATCCGATTTTGGTGGCCATTGTGCGCTGGAAATGGAGCGAGGAACCTCATTTTGTAACCATTCTTGGCCCAAGGTTTTAATACACCCTCCAGAATATCTTCGCGATAATATTCGGCATTTATTCTGATGCCACGGTCGATTAATACGAGCGGAGAGCGACCATCGATCAAGTTGGTTTCGACCAAGTTAATATACTATGGAGGGTATATTAACTTTGCCATTCCGTTTGTAACTCCTCGAAATACTCATTTTAGACCCAACAAAGCATATATATTCTTGATCAGCGTAAAATTCTAAGTCGATTTAGCGATGTCCGTCTTTCTCTCCGTCTGTCTATCTTTCGAATGAATTGAGATAGATGGCTGAAATTTTGCACACATGTTTATTTTTCCAGCAGGCAGGTTAAGTTCGAAAATGGGCCATGTAGGTCCACGTTTTCATATAGCCCCCATATAACGTACCTCCAGATATTCGGTATTTTGATGATTTTTGCGACATTATTCACCGGAATTGTTTCAAATTTGGTACTTGAAGTTCGAAATCGATACTACACTCTAAGACAGAAAATTGTCTATGTTGTCTACGTCTTCGTATAGCCCCCTTATAACAGTAACTCCCAATATTCGATATTTTGATGATTTTAGCGTCATTATTCACCAGCATTGTTTCAAATTACGTATTCAGAGTTCGTTATGGTCTGTGACAGAAAATTGTCTATGCAGGTCCAGGTCTTCGTATAGGCGCCATATATCATTACCTCCCTATATTCGGTATTTTGACGATTTTTGGTACAATACCCACCGAAATTGCTTGAGATGTGGTATTTGAAGTTCGTAGTGGATGCTACAGCCTGTGACAGAAAATTGTTTATGCATGTCCAGGTATTCGCACAGTTCCGATATAACGGTACCTCCCTATATACAATATTTTGATGATTTTAGCTACACTATTCACCGTTTATTTCAAGTTTCGAATTTGAATATGGTAATGGCTTATGACAAATGCCTATGTAGGCCCACGTCGTATAGACCCCAATATAACGGCTATATTTGGTATTTTTAAAAACTTAACAGGGGCTACGCTACCAGTATCACGGTAACGAGTGATGATACAAGACACAAAAGATTTATTCACATTTAAATGCTAGAGTGTTCTACCGATAGTCAGTTGTGATTTTCCAGCCAAATAAAATTTTTTTCTTTAAAATTCTCACCAAAATGCTTTTGTACGCTTGTAGACAGTATAATAAGCTGTCCCTAAAATAATTTTAACAGCTGTCGGACGAGTGGCTTAGAAATGATTAATTTAATCATTTGCAAGGGATGTACAAGAAAAAATAGAGGAATTTATCCCATTTTCACGAAATATTCAATGTTGAAGATCCGTTTAATTTATATCTGATTGACTTTGATCATTCGTGGGAAAGGTATAACAAAATTGTCCAATTTATCCCATCCAGTATTGGCGGAAATATTGAGATTTACGAAACTGTAATCTTTTCATGTACTATGAGAGTTATTACAATTATTTTTTAGCCCACCGGGGGAAATAGCGGAGGAAGATATATTCTGTTTGTCTGACGCAAATTTTACGATGAGCTTAATTGGAATCTACATTCCGCAATACAATTTATATGTACAAATTATAATATTCAAGAATTGGGCTAAATCGCATTTCAACTTGTGGGTAAGATGAAAAAACTTCAACCAACTTCAGATTGTCGCATTTCTAAGCCACTCGCCCGACAGCTGTCAAAATTATTCCAGTGACAGCTCATTATATTGTTTACAAGCGTTTAAAGCATTTTGGTGAATAAATCTTTTGTGTCTCGTACCATCGCTCGTCACCGTGATACTGGTGCCATAGCCCTAAGTCCAAGAAGTAAACAGTAACATCAGCAGAAACGGTTCGAAAAATAAAGAAGCGACTTGATCTAAACCCACGTCGCAGTGGCCGAAAAATGGCTCGTGAGCTGAAAATATCGCAATATTCCGTTCGTCGTCAAATATTGAAAAATGAGTTCGGAATGAAGCTATTGAAATTGCAAAAAGTGCAAGAACTTACACCGCAACAGAAAGAATATAGACTCAACAGAGCTAAAGAGTTGCTTCGCTTGGCCGAAAGTGGTAAACTGCCGAATTTGGTTTTCTCCGAATAGAAAACATTCATTGTCCAGCAGTTTGTAAATAAAAAAAATGATCGTGTTTACTTGCCAAGTAGGTCAGCTGAAAAGATGCACCTTCGGTTTGCCACCAGAACTCAAGCGCCGGCCAAGGTGATGGTGTGGGCCGTCATGACAGCAAAGGTCGCTCTCCGCTCGTATTTTTCGACCGTGGCATCAGAATAAATGCCGAATATTATCGCGAATATATTCGGGAGGGTGTTTTAAAACCTTGGGCACGCAAACGTTTTGGCCGCAGACTTTGGACATTCCAACAGGACTCAGCACGCGCCACCCAAGAATGGTTACAAAATGAGATTCCCCGCTTCATT